GGAATGGGAGATGAATCGCTGAGAGGAAAAAGGGGCTGTGGATGGGTGCAGAAAGGGGAAGGAAAATGAGGCAGTGGGTTAAAACAGCCGAGACTGTAGGAGGGTTCTTTTGTGTCTTTTTTTTTTTTTTTTTTTCCCCCTCCTCGGGTTTACAGGATCTTTCAGACACTGGAATTATTTTTCTTTTAATGCATTTTCAGCTTTTCTAGCTTCTTCACTGTTACACACTGTTTCTGCCAGCATATCCTGCACAGAGTGCTCTACGCCAGACTCCGTGGGGGTGGAAGAGGCATTAGCACCTCTGCAGTCTTTTCTTTTCCTAATGGTAATATGTTGAAGAGTACACACCGGTTTCCTTCAACAGATGAAAAGGGATGCATGCCATCCTCTCAGACTGGAGAGGGGCAATGCTAAAAAACTATAGGAGTTAAATACAGTCTTGTGACTTTCCAGTTCAGTCAGACTATTGTTTCAGTCTTCTCAATCATTGAGAAGCAAAAGGAAATGATGTGCTGCTAAGTAAAGGGAACACTTGCTGAACTGACTTCAAGGCAGAATGAGACAGATAGCTGTCAGTCACTTCAGTTCTGTTACAAGCTTCCCAAGGTGACTGCCCACACAGTTTGGTCACTGTCAGCATTGTGATTCCATGCTCTCCAAGAGTTCCCCATGAAGCTACCGGAATTTATTTTTATAAAAAAGGAACCACAGAAGCCAAGGACAAGAATGCTAACACATTAAAAACTGCATAAGGGACTCCCACGCTTACAAGGTCAGCTTTCATAAATCACTGTCCTCTTAAGTGTGGTGCAGACCAGTCTTAAGATACTTGCCCTGTGCAGACAGTACTTGCAAACTGCTGCTGGCTGGGAGTGAGAGAGACCTTCTCCTGGGGTCCTGGTGAAAAGCAGGTACAGCCGAGTTGTAAAGACGTAATTGGAACCTTCAGGAACTTGGTGTCTTGATTCCTGATTGCTTTTTATGTGAGGGGCTAGACTCTAAGCAATCCCATTCTGCCCCACTGTAGACTGGCAGAGAACTGTCCTCAGTCGTGAGGGCAGAGACTGTGAATAAGCAAGCCGTTACCGCTAACAGCAGAGCACAGACAAGGTTCCTGTATTTTTAGTACTACCAAAGCAGTCTGAACAGTGACGTTGAGGGAGCGTGGCCCCGCTTTCTTGCTGGGTTTAGAGTGGGCAAACAATTCCTGCTTTCTTTGACTTTTGTTACAGTCTCAATCTTTCTCATAACATGGGAAAAATAGGAAGTCACTAAGTCTGTTACTGTTTTTCATGGTGGTGTTTAAGGTAATTTTTTTTGTACAAAACACAACTTTCAAAAATAAAATGACCAAAAAAACTGGTGAAGTTGTTGTGCTGATGTAACAGGAGCTTTCTCTGGTGCCAGAGCATCTTTCTTATCCAAGGGTGAAGGGTCCTTAGTGTGTGGTGCTTTGTGCTTGAACTTCTTTTGTCAGGAATGGATCTCTTATTAGTACATGTTTTTGCTGCCACCTTGTATGACTTCAGTTCCCTTAGGGCTTGAGAGGGAGGGGTGTACACATCTCTAATAGCTGAAACTTTAAAAGCTCAGGTAGTTACAGATGGGAAAAGTTTCCTATGCTCTATATTTCTCTGCAGCAATAAAAATCAAAAGTAACTTTTTGATGAAGGTTGTACTTCTCAAACACTAGTTTAATGTTCAGGTTGGGGAGGGTGGGGGGAGGACGCTGAAAAGCAGCCAGACTTGCAAAGCCTGAACAAGTATTTTTTATTAAGAACACTGAACATGAAATGAAGAAGTGAAGCCTTCCCATTTGACTGAAATAAAATCCAGTCCTCAGAAGTAGCTAGTAACATAGGCGGGCTAGCTGCCTGCCCACCCTGCCAAGGGTCAAGCTAAACAGGAGTTTTATCACACCCAGCCTCCTAAGGATAAAATGGTTTAAGGACAGCCTTCCTCTGCTGATTGCGGTTAGAGATTCTAACCTTCCCCCTTCCCTGCCCCCAAATTACATCAGACCAAATAGTGTTATCAGGGCGCAAGCATGGGCAGCTTCCTTTGGGCCTACTTTGATTCAAGAAGTCTCAGAAGTCTTCTATCACAGGAACAAGGATGTCATTAAAGTGAGATTGAACAGTACAGTTAAGACTAGGAAGCTGCTGCCACATTTTATCCATCTCCTAAGCGCTTTCTCTCCTCTCTTTTTCTAACATGGGTCAATAAAGAGCCATTCCAAAGATCTCTAATGTTTTCCTACCTATGCTATTAGGTCTCCTGCCTTGCCACTACCACTTTCCTGCAACAGTAGGTGCTTTCCACAACGAACAGTCTTAGTTTCACTCAAATATTTAATGTGAAACTTCGGAAAACAGAAAAGCTGAGACACATGGTTTACAAAATCATTTTGCTTTCAGGTATTTGGCTCTAGGGGGAACTTACCTCTTCAAGTTTTGTGTAATTTCTTCAGGTCTTTTGCCTGTTTGTTTGAGGCAGAGGTGCTTCTGGAAGAGAAGCACTCTGCTCAGGTTTTCACCTTTGGCAATCTGGTTACAAAACTTCAGAATACCACACTTGGTCCTTAAAAAAAACCAAACCTGGAGGGGCTGAAAGGGAGGGACTCAGCCTATAACATAATTCTAAACCTTAGAAAGGAAAAGTACCATTAAAGGATTAGTATTCAGTTGTTGGAGGGTGCTTTTTTGGTTTGTTTTTTTTTTTTAACTGAGGAAGAGAAATTTGTTTTACAACACCAACCAAAACAAAACAAAAAAAAAAGCCTGAGGCAGGCAATACAATCCTGCCAGCTTAAACTTTGTCCCATAAGCTCTCCTGAGGATAATGAAGACAGACACAAAAATAATACAAACTGATAAGAGAACACAAAAAAAAAACCCCAAAACCAAAACCCCAGCCATTTTATGAAGAGCCTTGGCGCTTCTGGAGCCTGCTTTGGATCTGTAAATTATGCCCTAGCACAATGGGGAGACAAACCTAGTGCTGCAGGGTTCCCCAGCGTAAGACACTCCCCCCCCCCCCCCCCCCCCCACTTCCCATCACCTTGTCGTAAGTACTCAGGATAAATCCTCCTCTGGTTCAGAAAGGAGCATCTGGAGCAAATAGCTGCCGCAACACTTTGTGTTCACTCTGCATCTCTACAGGAGACAGTAAAGCTAAGGCAGCTCCTATTGCCACAGGCCTTCAAGTTTGGTATGCATGCTGGAATGGCTATTAAACCCAGTTCATGAACAGCCTAGGTCTTTTTTTAAGAGTGGAACAGCAGCAGCCCCTTTTGCTCAAATTCTTGTTTGTCCACGTCTGTCATTTGGGATTTACTAGTTCCCCTTCCTAAATGCCCCAAGCACAGCTGCTCCCAATGTCCGTGTGGGGCCGGCTCTTCCTATGCCTCAAGTTCTGGCACAGTAAGATTCAAAACTAAGATCTAGTAAACCTGCTGTAGCAAAAAGGGGCAAGGGCAGTTCCCTTTCAGAAGTCTGCTAAGACAGAAAGAGGTCCCCTTCCCATCTTTATGTAGTATACGGGAGAGGCATATTCAAAATCAGGAAGAAGGAAAGATGTTTCAAGGCCCCAGGTGGGAGTTTTCCTCCCCCTTGTAGCACCATTAAGAGACCAAGACATGGGCTTGTGCATGGCAGTTTCAATCAGTTAAATTCCTTCTCATTCTTCTTGAATGCAAGACCACAGGGGACCGTCCCATTCTTCCCCGCCCCAGCAGGATGCTCCAAAGCTGGCAGCTGCCCTGGGGTCAGAGCGAAAGTGAGACCTCTGGCTTCAGAGCTGTTAGGTCTCCTTGAGGACATTGATCTTGGCACAGATCTTGAGAGCTGGTCCCAGCTTGATGTTCATGGCACTCATGAGGTGTTCCTCCTTCAGAAGCAACAGGGCCTGGCCATCAATTTCCTGTGACCGAAACTCCTCAGCAATCTCCTGGCACCCTGTGAAACCAAAAAACCAGCACTGAGAAACATGCACCCTTGGCACTCCCCTTGTTCCCACTCTTTGGGCCTCTGGCAGGTACAGAAAGCAAGCTAGGAATCTAACCAACCCCCGTCCCCACTCTACTCCACAGACTGCCTGAGGAGTACAACTCATCCATCTGTATGACCTACTCCAAATCAGAAACATGCACAAAAGTACAATAAAAGCACTAGGCACCACTGACACCACTTTCTTTCCAGAAAGAGAGCCAACAAATTTCCCCATGCTACTGGATCACAGGACTGCAGGAGAGGATCTTAACTTCACCTTGCAGTGATGCAATGAACTCGTACACTTCCTCCACACTCCAGCGACTGGGATTGGTGGATAGGAAGACTGGGTTGATGCCGTGTAGATCTGGGGTAGGTGGGGCCATACTAGAGTTCGCCAGGTCCCTCTCTCCATGACTGGCCCTTACTGACAGGGGTCCTGGAGATGTAGGGGACAAAGCTTCATCATAGCTGGAGTTATCAGAGCCTCGACTTGAGTCTTCCTGGCCCTACAAGCCCATAGGAAAGAAAGAAAGAAAAAAAAAAAGGTGCTTTGTAAGAAATTCACAATTACTAGGTGCAAAACAAGACATTGGGAGCAGCAGAAGTTGTCCCAACAGTCTGGGACAACTGTCTCAGACTGTTGGTCCAGGGGCAGCTGACACAAGAGCTCCCCGATGCCAGAAAGGGGAGGCTTTACTCTCGCCTCCCTTCCTCTTCCTTCTCCCCATCCTCCCCCCATCCATTCCTCTTCCTCATGTCAGCTCTGAAGCTCATTCCATTCTTCTATAATCTGATTCAAATCATTCATGTGGAAGCATGCTAATCAAACGGGAAAAGTGGATTGTTTTCTACCAAGGCTGTCAGCTGATCTCACTCACTGAGACCTCCGAGACACAGCCGGGAGTGAACACAGAGAGAACAGAACAAGTACAAATGTGAATCCACTTTTTGCAGTCAATGAGCAATTAGAACAGCTCACTGTGCCTTGTGTAACAACTGTGTCAATGTGCACTTGGCACGTCCTGTACGACTACATCCACTGTGAGAAAGTGGTACACCCAGCAGTGACAACTCTTACGCTGAGATCTGCCTCGACAGAGGCAGACAGGACTCTGTCCTTACCCTGTGGCGCTTGCCCTGGATCTTTGTTCGAGCAATTTCAGAGCTGCTGCGCCGTGGTCCCCGTCGGCGGACACGGGCATAATTAGCTTCCTGGAATTCCTTCATCTTCTTTCTCTGCAGCCGAAACTGATGGCTGCAGCTGACATTGTACCTCAAGTAAGTAGAAGCAGAGCAGCAGTTAGGAAACAGCAGCTATCTAAACCTACTGCTTCTCCTTGCTCTAGATGGGGATAAAACTCCTCTTTACCATCAAGTTCTGTTCCTCCTCCTTCTAAGACTTCCCCTTGGAAGGAACCAGTCCAGACTTCTGACACAAGCAATATTTGGACACCAGAGTCTTGATCTAACATCTCAAGGGTCAATTAAGTCATTCCCCTAAGGGAAAAAAGACCCGTAACAAGCACTCTGCTATCAATAGGAGGCAGCAATGACTAATCTAACTTGTTCCCAGGTTTTTTCCCCAATGCTCCCTCATGTCTTTGTCTAGTACCAATACAGCAGACAGCTACCACTATGCATTCATTTTGTCAGTCGAATGTACATTTGACTGAAGAGAGGTTCTTTGGAGCCCAAGAACTTCCCCCTTCCCATTCCATTTTCTGAGCAAGTCAGAAATCCTGTTTACACTCAACACCACATCCACCTCTCCAGACCTAGAAGCATTCAAAAACAATTTAGAGTCCTAAAGGATCTCTGTGGCCAGTGCATCCCATGGAGGAAAGATCAGATGTACTGAAGTGTTGTACACTACCTGGAGAAGGGGCACATGCCAAGTTCCACAGAATGTACAGTCAGAGAAAAGGAAGATTATGTCTTGCTATTACCTTTTAGCACAGGTCATGGAACAAAACCTCTTGGAGCCACGGAACTGGGTTGCTGGGGCATACTTCCCGCAGTATTCACACTTCAGCAAGTTTGCCTTCTTATCAAGCTCTAGTGAGATACAGAGATACACACCAGTTTAGCTTCTGAACTGAAGCAGATCGTACACAACAATTCCCCATTCCACTACTCTTCTTCTGAGCACACAGATTCCAAGCACTATTCTTTACTGAATCTACTAAGCAGTTAGCTTGGGGAAGAAGCTGGGGAAGGAGAGGCAGAAGCTCCACTAATTAGGATCCCAGGATATTGAACAGACCAGTTTATTTCTCCTTGTCAGTACCGTTTTGCTGAACAAGCAAAAAATAGCATATCCCTCATATCCTACAAGGCTGTGGGGGAAATCTCCATCGCTGCACTCTCTGCTGTGTCCACACATCCTTCACAGCCTTCAGAGTCATTAGAGACAGGTACAGTTCAGATTCTCCTGCTTACTACCGACACAGGGTGTGTTAGATCATATTAACAACAACAACAAAGTATTGTATTCTGGCACTCAAGAAAAGGAGATCCTAGGTCCATAGCTTGAGTCTCTAAGGAGTTAGCAGGAAGGAATACAAGTCTATAATGTATAAAATTAGTAATACAGTATCAGAGAGCAGAAACTTTCAGTTACACTAGCTAGGCCTCCTGGTGCTGAAACTCACCCATAGAAGCACTGTCCCCTCCCGGAGAATTGCTGGACAGGTTTTCACTCTGGCCAGAAGGAGCCTCTCCCTGCAGCGGTTTCTCAGATTCCTTCAGCAGCTGAGAACAACCCACCTGGACAGGAAGAGAAAGAGTTGGGCCCATCAGTAAAGGATTCTCTGTGGCCACCACCCTCTGCAAGGTATATGCCACTCATATCTTATTACAGCTCAGAAGAATCCCTCTGCCTACTAGGGAATGAGAGATGCTGAACAAAGTTATTACTCCTTCCTGACCCACAGGCTTGGCGGTTCATTCAAAGATCACCAAGTACTATCTGCCTTGAATATCCTGCAATTCTGTGTAACTGCATTTCCCCTTATTTGCTTTAACTTCACTTCCTGCTTGTTCAAAATGCAGTGCATCTTTCGCTCACTAAAAATCAGAGAGAAGAACCTTCTTACAATTCCTGCATAAATTATTGCTTTGGGGCTACCAGAGAAAACAGTTCCCATCACATTTGGTTTACTCCCTCCAACCCATGCTCTTTAATGCCACCACTTAATGCCTTGCTTCATGCATGACACCTCCCTCCTTTCCCTTCCTCTTCACTGTCTGTGTCTCAGGCTAAAAATTGGAACATGGGGAAAGAAACTCCTGTCCAAAGATGGAAGCCCACCACCCTCCCGAGAGAGCGCTACATGTCCTTCTCCCACAGCGGAGAATCCTTACTGGAAAGGGCTCTGCTCCTTCCTGGATGACAAAGCCCTCAATGATGTGTGTGAGGATCTGGGGCTTAACGATGGCTTGTGGGGGTTTGGAGTCTCCCATCTGACGTGACACCATTGCCAGGTTTGGCGTGGGAGCAGAGGTGGGGGTGACTGATGCTCCTTCACTTGAGGTGGTATTTGGGGTTGCAATGGCAGCAGGATCAGATTTATCTGGAAAGTTAACAGCACCAGAGTCAGTTACCTTTGCTCCATCTACTTCAAATGGAATACGAGATCAGATCATTAGCACGCACAAGCAGAGCTCTCCTTTGTACCTCACCTCCAAGGCCATTCTTCTCCTCCATGTTTTTGGGGCTGTCTGTCACAGGAGAGGACCTGGCAGGCAGGAGTGCAGTGACACTGGGTGATTCCTGCTTCTCCTCCTCCGACTCTGCCTTGCGCTTAACTGCTAAGGTCTGAGACTTGCCCTGCGTGAATAAAGAGGAACACTTAAGCAGAGAGGGGAGCCCCAAAGCAAAGAACAAGACAGATTGAAGGCAAAAGTAAGATGCACCTGCTCCATCATACTTCATCTCCAGCCTGGTTCCTTCTCCTGGAAATGCCTCTAGCTCCCTCACAGTACATACCTCTACCTGAGAGCATTTGCCTAGCAGGGAGCAAAACTTCATGTATCAACATGAATTGGGCCACTGATATAATACCAAGACATTGTGTAAACCTCAAGGGATTATTCCAGGAAGAAAGAAATGGAATGGCAGTCACCCAGCAGTTTCCAAACAGGCATTTGACTAGATCAGATCAGTTTCAATGAAGGAGAGTCAAAACAGTAGGGGAAACATGTTGGATGAGAGCAGAATTGGCCCCCCACTCTAGCAATCAGACAAATACTGTGACACCTTTCTGAAGAAGCAGCCAGAGTTTAGAAACAGTCTCAGCAACCAGCTAAGGATATCTGAGCTGGCAAAGTGCTGTTGTTCCAGGGAGTTGGGCAGGCCCTAGCTGGACAATTCAGAGCAGCATGGACGATGCCTGTGGAACATGAGCCATCTTTGTTTCCTCTACATAGCCTGCTGCTAGGGGATCTTCTGAGGCCTAGAGTCAGTGGCTGGTACCACACACCAGGTCTGTGACCTGGAGGTATCCACACCTAGAGAGGAGAGGGGAGTTCAGTCTTCATGGCCCACTCAGCTCTCATCTCTCTCCTGAGAGAGACAACAAAGATGCCAGTTATTGTTTGTATTCAGTTTATGTGGCAAGGTTTTGGTAGCAGGTGGGCTGCAGGGGTGACTTCTGTGAGAAGATGCCAGAAGCTTCCCCCATGTCCGATAGAACCAGTTCCAGCTGGCTCCAAGATGGACCCGCCACTGGCCAAAGCTGAGCCCATCAGCGACGTTGGAAGCACCTCTGTGATAACATCTTTAAGAAAGGGTGAAAAATACTGCGCAACAGCAGCTGGGAGAAAGGAGTGAGAATATGTGGGAGAAACAACTCTGCAGACACCAAGGTCAGTGGAGAAGGAGGGGGAGGAGGTGCTCCAGGCACCAGAGCAGAGATTTCCCTGCAGCCCATGGTGAAGACCATGGTGAAGCAGTCTGTCCCCCTGCAGCCCATGGAAGTCCACAGTGAAGCAGATATCCACCTGCAGCCTGTGGAGGACCACACACCGGAGCAGGCGGATGTACCCTGAAGGAAGCTGTGACCCCACGGAAAGCCAGCCCATGCTGGAGCAGGTTTGCTGGGCAGGACTTGTGACCCCGTGGGGGACCCACGCTGGAGCAGCCTGTTCCTGAAGGACTGCACCCTGTGGAAAGGACCCACGCGGGAGCAGTTCATGAAGAACTGCAGCCTGTGGGAAGGGCCCATACTGGAGAAGCTCATGAAGAACTGTATCCCATGGGAGGGATCCCACGCTGCAGCAAGGGAAAAGCGTGAGGAGGAAGGCACAGCAGAGACAACGTGTGATGAACTGACCACAACCCCCATTCCCCATCCTCCTGCACCGCTCAGGGGGAGGAGCTAGAAGAGTCGGGAGTGAAGTTGAGCCTGTGAAAAAGGGGGAGAGGTGGTTTTTTAGATTTGTTCTTATTTCTCATTATCCTACTCTGATTAATTGGCAATAAATTAAATTAATTTCCCTAAACCAAGTTTGTTTTGCCTGTGATGGTAATTGGTAAGTGATCTCCCTGTCCTTATCTCGGCCCACGAGCTTTTCGTTGTATTTTTCTCCCCCTGTCCTGCTGTGAAGGGGGAATGATAGAGCAGCTTGGTGGTCACCCAGCAGCCAGCCAAGGTTAACCCACCACATTGTTAAATGTGATATTTAGTATGCGATATGGACACCTACCCTGTTTGGGGCAGGGTCTGAGTCTCATCTATTTACTTCATGCAAGCCTTTGAATCATAATGTGGAAAAGAAATGCTTGTAGTCAGTAACCCCAAGGTTTGGATTGGAATTAGTGTTTTCGAGAGGAAAAGTCTCCACATCCCTTTACCCAAACCCCTTACCCATCCCATCCCACTGACCTGGGCCTGGACTGCGATTGGTGTCCTAGGAATGAACAAAGAGAATCCATATGCTATTCTCCTTCTCAATGGTATCACTTACTGGCAACTGGACAGACTGCATGTAGAATGCTGCTGGCATCTGAGCCACAACTGGAGAGGAGGCTGGGCTCTTCACCATGTGGGCCGTGCCTTGAACTTGTGCCAAATTCACCCCTGTGGTGAGAGGAGGAGCTTCCTGTGAGGATGCTGGAGCTGAAGACGATGACGGGGAAGCAGCATGGGCTTGGGAAACAGGCTGGACCACAGCTGGCATTCCCCGGGATGTTGGCACTGCTGCAGCAATCTGAGCTAAACCCAGTGCTTGGGCTTGGCCTGAGCCCTGCTGCCGAGTACCCACCACCTGCACTGGGATGTGTGGTGGAGGCTGCTGTGCTGCTGACATTTTGACAGGCCCAAGCTGAGGTGGTTTGATGGGGGTGACCAGAGATTTTGACTGAATTGGAACAGGTGACTTGGTGGCTGGCTGGCAAGGACTGTCCTGCTGGAGCTGCACAGGCTGTGGCTGGGATTGCAACATAGGTTGCACCACAAGGGTCTGAGCCTGCTGCTGGTTTTGAGGTGGAGCCTGCTGCTGCGGAGGTTGAGCTTGCTGCTGCTGTTGGGTCAGAGATGGTGCTTGCTGCTGTTGCTGCTGTTGGGCCAGCTGAAGATGGGTGGCTGTGTGGAGGAGCTGGGACGGGCGGTGCTGGAACTGCTGCTGGTGATGAATGGCGATCTGCTGCTGGATCACCACCTGCTTCTGCAGGTGGATCTGCTGCTGCTGCTGGATCAGTGAGTGTGGCTGGATCTGGGTATATGTGGCTATCCAAACACAGAGTGGGAAAACAGGAGAGCACAAAAGTTAGCAACAGTGCAGCTGGGAACAACAATAACAAAAAAAAAAAAAAAAAAAAAGGCAGGCAGCCACTGCACTGGTTTGAGTCATTAAGCTCCAAAATGACTGACAGCTTACTGGCAGAGGACATAAGGGACTAAATCAACTACTCTTGCTAATAGAGAGGGATAACCCCTAGAGACAAGCCTCCGGGAGCCCAGAGGCTGGGAGGCGTGTCAGAAAAACCTTTCACCACTGGGCTTTCAAATGGCACTCTTGCGAAAGCCCAGTGGGCTCGAAGAGAAGGAACAGGTCTGCACTTACCTGAGCTGATCAACGTCTGGCTAGGTGCTGGTGTAGCGGTCCTGGTCAGGTTCATGCCCACCGTTTGCTGTCCGCCGCTGTCTGTTTCGCCCTTCTTTGTGGCTGCATTCTCTGTCTCCGTCTGGCTTCCCTGGCTCACAGTCACGGCCTGAGCAGCTGCTACCGGTAATGGCTGAACCACTCCCGTGCCTTTCCTTTGGCAACTGCCAGCGGCACCTGCTGAGGAGGTCTGGCTCAACCCTGTTGAAGTCTGGCTCCCACCACTTGCCACCACACTGCCGGAGACACCATTGCTGCCTGCTGCCCCCTGGCTCAAGTTGAGGGACTGGCCCGCGCTGCCGGAGGAGGCCTGAGCCACTGCCAAGGTCTGACCCGTGCTGGTAGCCTGCGGTAAGCCCGAAGCCTGGGAGCTTCCTGGCAGAGCTGCCTTCTGCGCAGAGCCTTGGAGCTGGGCGTTAGTGGCCGAGGTCTGCTGGCTCCTCACAGCCAAGTTCTGCACCTAGAAACACATATACAAAAGAGAATCCGTTTGCTTTACATACATTACTTGCTGGAAGTTTGGCAGAGAACGCATAAGCAACGTGCTCTACTGGGACGCAGGCTAAACTGATGCTTCAGGTCTCACGTGGGGAACTGGCTAACATTGCAGGGCAAAGCTCAGGCAACACATTATCCTGAACTCCCTCCTGCCCCGTCTCTGATGGAAGTTAAAGATCTCGTGGCACTTTCTGAACAGCACATGAGGACACAGACATTCTCCGAGGCATGGGACAGCCTTCAGACCTGCCTGCCATGCCTTTGCATTGGTAGCACCCAGTTTAGCATGGCTCTAAAAGTGCTGAGGTACCTCTTTAAAGACCAGTCATTCCTTTTCAATTTTTGTGCCACCTGCCTCCTCCCCCTGAGCAGGGCGTTCCACTCAGCAGGCCCACAGATCTACTCATGGCCTGCAGCCCTTCTGATTTCACCCGTTCCTCTGCGTTTTGGTGCTGCCATCCTCTGCATTTACTGCTCCTCCAAATGCAGTGTTGTCTTCAAGTTTGATCATGGCTGACTTCCCTTCAAAGAAAGTGCTCCAGACAAGAAAAATATGAAGTAACTGGAAATCCCAAGAATGACTGGGATAGGACAAGGAAAATGGGAAGCCATGGCAGCTCCCTGACCTGGAGAATTACTTATAGATGAATGCAGGACTTAAGACCCTGTGGCCTGTTCGGTCTTTGGCATCTGTACAACAAACCAACTGGGTGAAGGCATACTACCGCTGGCAAAGACTCTTCATTGCAGAGTGACAGAAAACTGGACATAGAATTCGACAATTCTTTTCACACAAGGACAATCGAGAAACTCTGAAGATGGGATTGATTCAGCCTGTGGCTCACCCCAGAAACTTTAAGCAGAAATGAATCCTGTCTCTGGAGGCAAAAAGCAAACATGAAAAAACAAGTGGCAAGAGAGAACAGAATCTCCTGCCCGCACAGGGACACAGGTTGGGGGGATAAAACAGAGCTAATCTGCTATACAGGGATGGCTGGAGACAAAGACTGGAGTGTGGGGTGATGGAGAGCAGGGGAAGGGGAGGACTCTGGGAGGGGGTGTCACTGACCTGGTCTGTGTCTGCATGGACCCCAGGAGACTGAGTGGGTGGTACCTCCTGCTGGACAGCGGCCACAGCCCCATTGGGCATCAGGATGAGTTGGGAGGCAAGAGGCACATTGCGGCCCAAGGTCCGGTTTACCTGCAACAGGTTCCCCAGCTGTGGCTGTTGAGGTAGGGTCAGGTGATGTGGAATGAAAGGAATGGAGGGGAAGAGAGAAAGAAAGACAGCAAACCACAAGCAAACAGATTACAAAACAACAATGTCACACATTGCAAAACCCCCAACCCTCCCTGCACTGTAACACTGAACATAACCCTCAGGAGCAGGAAACTGGGAACAGTTTCCTTATGGAAACAAGCACTCTTCTACCAAACATGGGCCGGGGCCAACTCCTACAGACTGCCCAGACTGCTGGCTAAAAGACTGGGATATCATTGAATTTTCAGATGTATATCCAGGACTGGTTGAGAAACAGTGCTAGAAGACATACATCCAAGACCAGGGTTGCTTGAAAAGAAGGGGATTACAATCTGTATCTAAAGTCAACTGAGACACAGTTCATATTTTTCAAGTAGGTAGCCAAACCCCAGACTGACTATATAGTCAAGCCTAATGCTTTCTATTTAGCAGCACCTCGAAGCAATTAAAAGGATGACATATTTGTTCATGTTGATTTACATTTCTAGATTTACTTGAATTCTGACTTATGTCCCTGAGCTCAGCAGTGGTAGAAGAGTAATTTACCATATATCTGTTCCAGCATTGAACCAGAAAAGTAGCTTTATTTCTGTGAGCTATATTCAAGACCAGGACATATGTTTCACATTTACACTCTAGTGAGAAGTGCCATGGGATCTTTAACATCTATGCAGAGCAGACACAAACATGATTCTTAACGATCTCACCTGAGCCACACTCTACAAAGCTCATCTACCCTCAAAAGCTGAGCCCAGAGTCAAACTTGTGGTTTCAGGGACAAGAGCTTCCCCATCTGAATTTAAAATATCGTGCATCATCCTTAGAGCTAGAGTTAGGCCAAAGGTGTTGGTAATCCCAAGCAGTGAAACACTGAAGTGGCTAGGAAGTGGGCTTCATGGTCAGGACACGTTTTGCGTACACATCTCTTACCCGGAGATACATCTGGGCCTGTGACTGGTTGAGAGGCGGTGAGGTGGTATTCCCAAGGAGCACAGACTGTGTCAGGGTTGTGGCGCTGGGGGAACTCACGCTCTGTGACCGACTGATCAGCTGAGCAGCTGACGTGGTGGCTAGGTTGATCTTAAAACAGAGAAAAGCCCCAAATCGTATATGAAGAGACAGAGGCAAAGAAATAAGTACAAATTCTGGGGTACAGCCAGAACAGACATTTTACAGTTTTTTCCTGTATCCCACAGGGGACCAAGAAGAAAAAAGTTCTTGTCTTAGAGGGCTTGGTCTTAGAGGCAATGCAGTCTAAACTAGCCAAAGCCCTGGATGCTAAGCTCATTTGTATGCTGAGCCTGAGTATCACTGTTAGCATGCAACTGCAATGAGAGATCCAAAAGAAATACATCATTTTTTCCAGCCTCTCAAGTAAAGGAAAAAAACCCACAAAGTAATCTCTACGCTACCAACTCATCTACTCTCTGAACAAATCCCAGTTCCTCAATACTCACTACAAAACCAGACTTCCTCTCATTCAACAAACTACTACTCTGCCCAAGAGAAAAAGAGCACTCCCTTTCAAGCTGCTCATGACTCTTTCTCCTTCTTAGAAGTCCTGATCCTTTTCTAATCCATGACAACGTATCCCCAAAGCCTCAGCAAAGAGAGATCAGTGTCTATGTTTCCAGCTAAGAGGCCTCTCCCACTCAGAAACCTTCTCTGGTCTCCTCGACCCCCACCAATAACGATAGCACCCCAAATCCTCAAAGTTGTCTGCATCTTGTGGATTCCCAGCATTCTTAGAAGCTCTGTTTCCCTGGCTGACTGCCTTCCTAAAAGACAAAGAGGAGTAAGAACAAGGCGGAGCAGGTGGGAGGAGGCTTTGATATGTGTGTGAGGGAACAGTTACTTACAGAGGCCTGGGTGGTGGTGGTCTGTTGCGGGGTGCTGGTGTTGGGGGAGCTGGCCTGTCTACTGGCTGCAATTGTAGCCTGCAAGAGAGATTGACAGAGAAATGAGTACCTGGAACAAACTTTTCAATCCAGCCCAAATATTTGGCTTTGTCAGAACACCTAGTCCCATCATCATCTTCTCCCATTTCTGAGAACAGGAGCACAATCTAACCACTACAAATCTCTGCTGTGCCCTACAAATCAGGTGCAGCAACTCAGCAAGGTACCTCCTCTTCCACAACCAGTTCAGTCCTATACACTACCCAAGGTAGTAGACAACAGACCCTTACGGTGCATGACCTCCAGTCCTTCCACCCATGGGTACATACCGTACTGTTGCCCCAGCTTGTCACGCTACACACTGCAACCCTCATCCTGATGCTGCAATCCACTGTTACCACCCAGACGTTCCCCACAATATTAACAATTTGCTGGGCTAGTTAGGCAGTTTGGTAACAACGCAATGATAGCACTCCAAGTAACAAATTGCAGACTACAGCACACATGGTTTGTGGAGGAATGTAAATATTGTTAAAATTTCCACCTCCCCCTCCCCCCATGATCCCACAGGAATTCCACTGTATGAGTTTAGGTAGTTTTATAACTAAGATTTGTGCAAAACTGGTGAGATTATTCTATTCCCTCTATGCTGTAAAACTGCAGGTAGGGATTTTGAGAACAACTAAATCCTGGACTAACAGCCAAGGAGCACAGCTACTGACGGAGATATTGTTACACAGACAGAACTGTATTCATGTCACACATAATCCATCTTCAACTGATGATAAAGTCTGGTAGGTAAGCAAAGTTGCTAAAGAAAAAGAAAAAAATCACTCAACAGTTATGCATCATAAAATATCTCAATTTGTATAAACATATCTCAATTAAAGAAACACCCTCCTGGCTGGACAAGATCTACCCCGGATCCCTCTTGCTAGTAACTGGTAAAGAAAACATGGGCTACTAAGTTTCAGGGCAGAAAATTCAGAGGATACTGCCTGAAATTTCACGCACATGAGACCATGTTTATTCTCAGAGAAGTAACAATCCATGGTTCACTTTAATACAGTTTTTAAACACTACTGCATCCCCTGCTGATTTAACCACCCATCTTTTATTTAAAGAAGGTTCAGGGGCTAGTCACAGGCCTCTGAAGTGCAAATTTCCTGTTGGGGATGCCAAATCTTATCTTCCCCTGCTCTGTACCTGAAAACCAAATGAATCTTTGCATCAGGCTTCCAGTTTACTAGCTGTTTGTATTAGCTTTAAACAATGTGTTTAGGGACTCGTCTCATCATGGATCAGGATGACCTCAGTGCACAAGTCACTGTATAAAGAGAGAATCTCTGGATCTTCCCCACAGAACGATCCAATTCCTCTCCTTCTGCCCCTTGGCAACTCACCTGCTGGACAGCAGCCAGGCTGTGAAGCTGGGCACTGTTAAGCTGCTGCTGGAGCATAAACTGATGAAAGTACTGGGCTGCATTGGGCTGTCTCTGGAGTGCCTGCAGGGCCTAGAGAAAGAGGAAAACCCAATTGTCAAAAATAGCGTGCCCTTGAAACATGATTAGAGAGAACAATGAAGAAATAAATAACAGCCATGAGACCATCCCTATGGTCCGCCATGAAAAAAGCAAAGTCACTAGATTAGCACATCAAAATACGTAGTACAGCTACAAATTTGGTAACAGACTGAATCACAGGTGTATTCCAGGACAGCGGGAAGCACACTTGCAAGACTTCAATAAACTCCACAAACTCGGGGATATGCGTGCTCAAGCAGGCAGACAAGTGTTCCAGTATAGTATGTATTATGGAGGATATACACTATATAGAGGAACAGGGATGATAAACTGAATGACTTGCTCCAGAACAGCAGGCTAAAATCAATCTATTGGATCACCGCACGGGTTAAATCTAAGAGGCTGGACAGTGGAGGAGTAACCTATAAAACACGAAGCACAATATCAGGCTACAGGAACTAAACATTGGGCCTAGCACAAGAATTTCTAAATCTGAAAACATGACAGTCCTTCGAGCGTGCTCCCACCTTGACACACGACAACTCAGAGGAACACGAAAGGGCTCACCACCACCTTCCACTGGCGCACATGCCACCCCAGAACGTAACCGCGTCTCACCTGTACTGCCTGTCGCTCATAGAGAGACATCTGCGATATCTGAGGACGGGTGCTTCCTCCAGAACTGGAGCTCCCGCTGGTGGAGCTGGAGTTCTGCTCACTTTCGGTCTCCATGGTGACAGGATCCCAGGAGCTCAGGCTGAGATGGACTCCAGATCTACATTGAGAGAATTGGAAACTAAGTCAGGCTAGAGAAAGAACCAAACCCTATTACACAGCTTTTTTACTGGAATATCCCAGTACCAGGCTCCTTGCATAGCTTTGCTACATCACAGGGGACTGGGGATGCCAGGGTTCTGAAATCATCCAGAAATTATACTCACGGTTTAAATCTTTTATTACCACAGTCAGAAATGTAACGCACACATGCTCATATTTTTATTGCCATGCTACAGTTGGAAGCTACAGCATCCTGAACTCTTAAAAAGGCAGCAGAGTGAAGGAGCAGCTGCAGCTCATTCAGACAATCATTTGGTTACAGACCTGATCACCTCTCCTTCAAGAGAGGCTAGTGAGCTGAGGCAAATTGCACTGTGGTTCCAGTCTCCCGCTGCACTTTGGCAACTTCTGATCCTCTCTTCCTCCAGTCCCACAGAGGTATAATTATCCCACAACTCCGCTGCCCTACTGCAGATATACCAACTCAGTCCCTCCTTCTCCAAGTTTAGCCCACAGCCCTTGACCGTTTCTTTCTTTCCCTGATCACATGGACTTTCCAACTACTTGTTGTTCCCGACAAATCGTAACTTGAATGTTAGACTGGCAGCTAGTATCTGTGGTGGCAAGTTGCTTTCAGGAGGAACGGAGTCAGAAGCAGAGTGGATGAAGGGTTCGCTGGCAACACTTGTGAGGGGAAAGCCGCTAAAGAGATCATGCAGAGCCAGAGAGATCTTCCAGCAGCAGAAAGATGAGTTGCAGTGAACCTCAGGACTGAGAAAGGACTGGAGAAGGCTTTCATCAGCCAAGAGGAAGAGAAACGAGACTGAAGAGAGTGCTTAGCAGAAGAATAACACATTGGAACGATCAGGGAGTTTCCTGCAGCAAGAAGCATGGGCTACACAGGGAGTAATGGTAAGAGGGGTTAGAGTCAGAAAAGAGAAAGCGCAAAAATGATTATTCATCAGAATTTCACTGAAAAAAAAATTTACTTTTTAGAAGGATATCATTCCATGTAAGATTAAAAAAAAAAAGCTTCTGACAGTCTCAATATCACTGACAGCCTGTTTGTTTCCAAAACCCCAGCTGGCTCCCCTGCAACATATCCAAGAGACCTCTAAATGAGAACCCTAGGCTTCAAGGATCCCACAGCACCAGCACAGCCCCTGGATCTAGACCTTTTCAAATCCTGAGATTTCGAGCTTCACAGCCTTCACCAAACACAACTTTTTCCAAGTGTGTAAACAAACGGACCAGTGCAGCAGAAAAGGAGGTGCAACAATAGTCTCGACCAGACAACTTTTTAAATTCTGGAATGGCGTTAAGGGCAGCAAGATGACTTTAAAGTACTGGTCAAAAAAGCAAACCCCAGCATTAACACTGCAGAGGATGGATGGCTAAATCAGGGAACTGCTGCTCCAAAACTGCTCCTCAAAATCTGCAAAATTCTATAACTGACAAGCAGACAGCTGCTGCTCCAGTCCTGTCTTACCCACACATCTTTACCTCTGCCCTCAAGTCCTGCCCAGGCATCTCCCTACTAATCCAACACTGGCTTCCTGCACTGCTTTAGCAGTGGCCGTAGGTAATTCTGCCCTGCAGTCATCATCTCCTCAACTGAGACGCACCTCCTCCTAACTGGCCACTACTGTCTTCAGGCACAACTCTATTACAGCTAGAAACAGTTGGTCAATAAGCCTATCTAGAATATAAAAGCTCTGGAGAAGACAATTGCCTTAAAGATCTTCCCCAGGGGGCAGCACCACAAAAAGTAAATGAAGCCTGAAAATAAATAAATTGAGAAGGGAGAGAATACAGACTTTCTGAAAGAAACTGTGGTAGATAAGTGAAGTACTTCAAATGGGTTTAAAACGCAAGTCAGAGTGACGCTACACACATTACACCAAGTTATCTAGTAGCTCAGCTACCATTAGGAAACAATTTCTGTTCCCTTGCGCACCCTCACCCTCCCCATGCAGGTTCCTCCCAGCATTTACCTCGCTTCTGGTGCTCACTAAATCAACTTGTTAACTTTGCAGAAAAGCTACCCTAAAGATCATTTTCTGCCAGATCAGCGAGTTGAATTAGCTCACTTGTGATGCCACAAGTGCCAGTGAGAGAGAAAAGAAGGTAACCACGGTTCAGCTTAGCTGTAGCGCATACCCTTACCCTCAACAGCTGCACCAGAAGGAGAAACCTGGCTTCTGACTCGGTGCTCTGCTCCGCCAATCTGTGTTTCCTCAGTAAACAGCATCACTGATTCTTAAGATTTCCAGCATTTTTGAGAGTTCCACACTGATCTAGATCTTCTTAAAATCAGGTCCTAGCACAAACAGAATCCCACTGAAACACCTCTGGGATGAGAGGCATCAAAAAATTTTGGTCTCTGTGTAGGCAGAAGGCCTTTCGGGGCCATGGATAGAGAAGCATACTCTCCCTTTGCAGAAGGGTGGTGAGAATTTTAAGTCACTCACAGCAAGCAGGGCTATCCAGCAAAACCCTTCCCAAACACAAAAGTGGAAAGGCACAGTATTTCCCCAGGCAAGTTCATCTAAGGATGCAGCTCCATGTTAGTGTAACCCGATCCAAACACAGGCTATTCCCACACAAAATAGCATGGATTACACCCACTCCAAGCGCATCTTCCAGCACCCTCCTCTTACAATAATCTAGTGATCACTGGGCTATCAGATCACTTGGCTCAGCTAGCGGCTCCATGAGATGGATAACCTACTAAAAATGATTAAACCATGGATTTTCCGAAAGATTGAGTTAACCAACTCACCTTGCAACATAATCAGTAGCTCCAAAGCAAAAAAAAAACCAAAAAACCCAGAGTAACAATGTGGCCATTACTGGAAATTAGTCTTTGAACGGCAGCTAGAACTGCACCCTAAAAGGCAGGCAGGGGAGAATACAAAGACCTATTAACACCACGGCAGGAATGACAGCACAGCGGAAAGGAAGGGAAGGAGAAGGGAGAACACCAGCTCACGGAGCAGTGCAAGCATGAGAACACGGGCCAGTCCAGAGCCCGACCCACGCTGCTGATCTCAGCACGCACCAAGAACACCACAGGTGGCCCGTCTACAAGTTCCTGACCTTTCTCAAGCGCAAGAGCAGAAGAGTCAGGCCACACATCTACTCTAGTCACTGAGCACTAGGTAGAAGGTAGGCAAGTTCTACTCGCTCACCCCATCCATTCCCCCTGGCACGTGACTGCTGCCTGCAGAACACTGTCTAACCTTATAACTGGTTTTGTCGCCTCACCCTTGAGAAACTAAGTTAACGAACAAGTAAGATTTGCACAAGTTTGCCCATGGGTTTTGGGGAGAAAAATTAGCAACCAGGACTACAGCACACTCCTCGCCCCGTTACTGTAGTTTTCTGCCACACAGCCTCCAAGCTACGCAAGCAGAGGCGTGAAACTGCCGGGACCCGTTCCTGCTCTGGGGGGATGCTCTGGGAGCAGCAGTAGGTGAGGCTCTCGA